ACAGCGCGCTCTAGTCTGTCTCTCCGTCCGTCCGTCTGTCCCTCCGTCTGTCCACTGAGTCTCCGGTTCGATTCGGCCCTCGCTGCGATCTTTTTTTAACTTATTTTCCGCCGGTTTTTTTCCTTTTTTTTTTTTGCGTTATTCGTGTTCCTTATTCTTTTTTTTTTTTTTGCGTTATTCGTGCTTCATATCTGTCTTTCAGGCTCGTGCGTCCGCGCATCATGTAATGCGCGGCATTACAGTATGCTGCGGCACGGCGGACAGCCGTCCAGCAATCGCACTTTGCAGTCTGCCCTTTATGCACCTAGCTCTGTTCCGCACGCCGCTTTGTTCCTAGCTTTGTAGTGTGCACGTGTCGAACTTTGTTTTGTGCACGTCTCCGGCTGATCTTTGGGTGCTAATCGTGCCTTGCTCTTCGGCAGCCGCGGATAATTACGGCCCAGCGAGATGCTGGTCCATTGACTGCATCGCCTGCCAGCACTGTTCTGTTCTTGCGAACTTTAGTTTGTTCCTTGGACCTTGCTGTACTTTGTGTTGTGGGCTTTGCAGTTCTGTATTTGTACCGCGCTGCTCTTTACGCAACTCCTGGGCTTTGCGCAATACAGTTCCTTGCGCATCAGGCTTCGCAACACTCTGGGAACCAGCTTCCCTTCGATACCCGGGAATCCCTTCATCTAGTTGTCGTTTCGTGCTCATTCGTGCTCATTTCATAACGAAGGGCTGAGGGGCCTTCAGAGCATATCGACGGAGTTCGGCTGAAATGGCCACTTAGCATGCAAAAGCCTTGTAATATCGCCATGCCAGGGATTGTTTTAATTACTTATGATTGTACAAATACTCCAAACGTAAGGTTTCGTTCAGTCTGTGCTTGTCCCAGAATGAAGGGCTGTAGGGCCCTTCAGAACATACAAATGCACACAGCATCTGTTCGCAAGTCCAGCTTTCTGTTGAAGATGTAATAATAGCTAATAAAGATGGCCCCTCCAGTTAAAACATATCCATGTTACCTCTGCCGCGGTCGACTGTATGCATTGTCGAAATTTGAAATTACGTGTGTGTCCTGCGGACGCAAGTATCATAGCAAGTCTCATGCCCTAAGGCACTGATTGGGTCGGTAACCCATGGGTTACCCATCGGTTACCCACCTTCAACCCCCCGTAGCCCATTGGTAACCCCCTTGTAAGTTCCTACCCAGCAGGAGGGGTAACACGGCCCCAGGGTAACCCCCTCCGTTGCCCTGGACTATGGACATGGGCCTATAGGCTACTCATCTTATTTGCTGCGCATTTCGTGAATTCATTTTAGTACATTTCTGTAAATGTACATGTTACATATACATGTTGAACCTACAGTATCCCGGTAGCTCGGGAAGCATCGTTCGCCAATATGAATTAAAGGCCTCTAACGCTGCAGGAAAATTTTAGTAGAAGATTTAGAACTATGTATGTATTCAGTTTTAGCGTTTGTTC